TCCTTGAGTTCTACTTGGACTGGAAACATAATCCCAAAATTTCAGCTTTCTAGCTTTTCTGGTTCTCGAGCTTGGACTGGAAACATAATCCCAAAATTTCAGCTTTCTAGCTTTTCTGGTTCTCGAGTTGGCGATTTTCCGCCAAAACTTTGAGTTTTGCTCGTACGTGGGGTCTAGACGTGCTTGAGGGTTGGTGCCACGGTCCTGGGGTGGCAATTGGCCGGGGAACCCACTCGCAAAATCTTGGAGCCGGAGCTTGCTTGGGTGCAGAGTTGAAAATCCCGGACAGACGCACACACACATACACACACACACCGGGGGTCGTCAAAATATGTGTTTTTGCATATTATGCAAAAACGCATAATAAAAGCAAGAAAGTGCCAGCAAGAAAGAAAGTAAAAAAAAAGGAAAAAGTACAAGCAATAAAGAAAATAAAAGCAAGCGGAAAACCCGCCATAAATAGGGGAGATCCCAACTCATAAAGCTGATGCTTAGGCAAAGAAAGCTTAAAGCCAATAAGGCGAAACAGATGTCTAGGTAAAGCTGCGAGTTCTCAGCTTTACCTAACCATCAGCAGTTTGATCCCTCAGTTTTACCTAAGCATCAGCTTCATACGGAAGGTTTGCCTAAGCATCAGCTTCATAAGGAAGCTTTATCAGCAAAGGACTTTCCCATTTATGAAGCTGATGTTTAGGTAAAGCTTCCGTGTTTATGAAGTTGATGTTTAGGAAAAGCTCAGGGATCTAAATGCTGATGCTTAGGCGAAACTGAAGGCAAAGTATGACTGGATTACGCAAAAACTGCAGACATTTCCTCTTGCAGCCTGCAACTGTGCACAACGGCCACATTCAAACTGCAACCATCCGCCGTGGGGCAACCCTACCTGCCGCCCAGAAAAATTTTTTGCGGCTCATGTATGAGACCAGCCGAGTCGAGCCGAGTTTTTGTAATTGCCCATTTTGTGCAACTACTGCAACATAAGAAGCATAAATTAGTTGAAAGCGCACTAGCTGCCGGTGCGAAGATGCGCTTTTTGCACAGTTCTCCCACAGATTTTTGTTGCTAATGGCACTTTTTCCGCCAGATGCTTCTAGCTAAGAGAACTGAGAGTAGTCACCACGACTGTTAGAAATTATTTCAATGATTCCCAAACAATGCCCGAAAAATTCAGCACTCTAGATGCTTCGGTTGCGGAGTTAAAACAAATTTAACGTGTTCGTACGTGAGTGGCAACGTGAAAGCTGCCTTCGCGTACGATTGCTCAAACACGGTCCCAGGCAACACTCAGAAAATTTCAGCGCTTGAGCTGTTTTGGTCGCAAGTTACGTCAAATTTCACGTGTTTGTGCGTGAGCTGTGAAAGTGATGTGCAAGTCGTTTTTGCATCAATCTGTCAAAGGCCACCGTCGATTATGCTAAGAAAGTTCCGGTATTCTAGCTACTTCAATTCTAAAGTTACAAAAGTTATAAAAGTGTGTCCATACGTGAGATGCAGAAGGGCTGGAAAACTCAATTTACTTTCACGGGCACAATAGTGGGCGACAAGTAACGCTGCAAAATTGCAGCTATCTACAACTTCTTGGCCAGCTTAAATTGGCACGATGCCAGTTCAGACTATGACGTATGAGTATGTGAGACTTAGGGATGCGTGAAGGCTGAATTTGAAATCTTTGGATTAGACACGGCCAAGGAACATCTCTGTGAAGTTCCATTCTCCTAACTTGCGCCGTTCTCGAAAACGTTTTCCCACCAGAAAAACTTGTACGCGCCCATACTTGAAAATCACGCGGGCCTGAACGTCCATTTTGAAGATGGAAGCCCGCAAGTATTTGTAGATTAAGTTGCCAAAGTTTCAGACTTGTAGCTTTTGTGGATCTTGATATACAAGCTCGTTACAGACGCACACACAGACAACCCCTCGATAATATGCGCTTTTGCATTGTATAAATTCAAAAAAAGCATAAAAAGGTTATGAAAAAATGAATTTGACAATATTATGGTAGCAACCATATGTAACAAAAAGTGTGAAAGTAGGAAAACACTAGGTAAGATCCATCTCTTTGCTCGATACTGGCTATG